GCTAGTGGAACGTGTCGTTGCTTTCCGTGACAGTGGCGTTGGCTTTGATGTGGAATTTGTTGTCGGGCCACCTAAGGCTAGTAAGGTAAGCGGATTTTTCTTCTAGAATTCTCTAAATTTTTGGGAAAGCATACGAAATATTAGGTTATTTGAAGAAGCCAAAGGTAACTTCCTCCTTCCCTCCCCCCTCCATTTTCTCCCCGCCCCGCCCGAACCCTTTATGCCCTCGTTTTGGCTTTTCACAGGAAGTGGAGGAACTCGATAATGGCTCAAATGATGGGAAAGGCCAGCAGTTTGAAAGAACTGAAAGTATTCTGGAAATTTGCCCATCGGATCGTTTCCTTGGTAAATTAGTACTGCTACAAGCCGAGGAATCATACCGGTTGTTGACTTCTGAGTAATCCGCGGAAGAGGAAGTCATCTACGGCCTTGCCACAGGGGATTCCCCTTTGTTTTTGCGAAAATTTTCAATGCGAAATTCTTCCTTTTTTTAGCGTTTCAATGCCCATCGCCTGGTGATGGCTGCTGGCTCGAAAGTGTTGGAATCAATGTTATACGAGCGAAAAACCTCGTCATCACCGGCAATAAAGAAACGAAAAGAATGTGAGTACATTGTTAACAGACAAGGTTTGTTCGTTGTTTCGTTTCAGGAATTTTTTGAAAGCATGTTCCTGGTCACTAAGATTTTTGCACATGTAGGTCCGCATCTCTGTTTTTTTGGGGTATTTATTTGTTAATTTTTGTGGGTGTGCACGCCCCGTGTGTGTAATATATGTGTATATGTGTGCGTAAGTGCATGTTTGTATATATGTGTATATTTGATGTATGTATGTATACATGTATGTATGTATGTATGTATGTATGTATGTATGTATGTATGTATGTATGTGTTTATGTGTATGTGCGAATGCACGTATCTTTATGTGAGTTTTTGCTTATTAATATTCGTATGTGTTCTCGTGTCTGTGCATGTGTTTGTGTCTGTGTGTGTGTGTGTGTGTGTGTGCATGTTTCTGTACACGTGTGTATGTTTGTGTTTGTGTATGTGATGTCAGCTGATTCCTCAACCGGTGCTAGTCCTTAAAATAGGCTGATACTTGTCTTTGGCCTTTTTCACCAGCATTTTGGTTGCACGGTGTCAAAGCATTACGTTTTATGGTTCAAAATGACGTACACATCATAGTCGAGCATATATTCCCATTCCTGGGGCATTTGGGACCCTTCTGTAATTGAAATCGTCAAAGCTACATCACTTGATGTTTTTCGTGCTGGAAATCCTGGCTTTCGATTCCCTCCAGTTCTCCTTTTTTTTCATTTTGGGAATAAAAAGATAGATTTATAAACATTTTCTGTACCGTTTGTATGGCCATCCATCTCGGCAGTCGAAAGAGAAACAGCTTAATATTCCTGTACCTGGACACGGAGATAAATGCTCATTATGGGTGTTTAGTGCGGTTACGCAAACGAACTCGAAGATGTTGAGCAAAAATGTGTCAATATTCTCTGTACCGTTTGCACGGTCATTCAACTGTTCAGGAGCTATGGGATGAAACACACAAATTGCGTCCTAAAATGTCTTCTTACACATATTTTTTAAGTTTATTTAAGGCGTATATGACTTAATGGGCCGAAATGTCTTATCTCACTCTTGCTTCCTCTCCTATACTACTCATTCTTTGTGAATTCCATCGCACTTTCGCCACCTGTACTTCCAGAGTAAACATTGATTGCTTAGTCCTTATCCCGTATTCTTTTATTCCTTACGAGTCACAGTGCATACCCTTTCACGAATGTTGGCCAATATGGCGGATCGTAGAAATGTCTGGCCACTACTGGTAAGCAGAAACCGAACGCAGAATGGGGGAAGGAGTGGAAACCATCAGTACACCTTTTGATCGGCATGCTTGTGAATGTGTTTGTGTCAAATCGGAGTTTGCATGAAACTAA